CGCACATACACACATCAACAAGCGCAACAGGCACCTCACCTTCCGCTGCTAGCACTGCTCACATCACTCTTTTTAACCCATTTTCTTCTTTTTCACCGGTTAATTCCAAATCCTTTCAGTCTTTTTTGGAAAGTTCGCGAACCGCTAATTTTAGATCTAACCGAAAAACTTAGAAGTTATCCCTCGGTATAACTGTTTCCAAAGAGATTTAATATCATGCACTACGTTCATGACTTTTTTCTTCGAAAATATTTCCCCTCACTGCTAAATTAAACCAAAAATATTTTTCACACTTTGGCCATACATTAATTGGAACATTCATTATAAACATTCTTCCGCTTTCGGAATTCAAGATTTGCATTGTGTTTCCCTCAGAATATTCTTTCAATTATATCATTGCTTGAAATTTTAAACTGCGATGAAATTAAAGGTTAGATTACGACATTAATTCCCACCTGCTACTTTTCGTCATTGTTTTGTCTCTTCTCGCAACGAGATCACTTGTTGCTGACAGTGTTTACTGCAAAATCATACTGAAGTTATTATTATGAAGCACATACATTGTTTTCTGAAAACAGTCGCTGTCAATTTTAAATTTTTGTTAGAGGAAAAGTGAATTCAGAGAAAGTTTTCCTAGAATGAACTATGTCCCCGCCTTCTCACCCTCCCACTTCTTCGCTTTGAACATAGTTGAGAGACTGTTGAACAAAAACCAGAAGTTTTTAGAAGAACTAAAAAAAAAACAAAACTACACAGTGCACTGTATCGGGATGCTATGAATTCTGGACTAGTGGTTTCGAAATTTCTAAACTCCAGTTTCTTTTTGAAGGTTTCAAAAACAAAGGTGGTACAATTTGGCCGAACGAATTGTTTTTATCGGATCAGTTATGGAAATACCAGAAGGTTTTGAGCGTGTTAGCTGAGACATTGTACATATAGATGTAGTTTGTTGATGGATCTGATGATGTTTTGTTTAAATTCTTTTCATACGGTTACTTTAAAAAAACCCATGAAATCTATAGGATAGCCCATGTACCATTTTTCATTTAGTTAAGATTAGAGGAAAACGCTTGCCGCCAGATAGTGATGCGATCATCATCAATGGAAAACAACATTTTACTACTTTCTGTTTCCCAGTTAACATCATTCTTTTCGCCATAAAAGCAGAAACGAAAAACTTCATTATACAGCTTAAGAACAATGTTATTGTATGTTTGGGGATGTGACGTATCATCATTTCCGGCTTGATACGGTATCGGTTGGAGGGCTATCAGTAAATATTGGGTAATTTGAAAAATCAGGAGGAATTGAGTTTTCAGAAAGGAAAGGGAAAGAAAATTGAAACTGTTCAATATTATTACTTAGTCCTAAACCATAAAATTTGAAGCATTTCGGTTGTCATATTTTTTGCATATCTATTGATACACTTTGAAAATTTCGTAGATGCTGTTTACTAACTACTATTAATGATGGAAGAGGAAAATTTGATAAAATAGAAAAACAAATATAGTGAAAATGATTTTTTAAATTGCATCAAGTTATATAATAGTCAGTTTTTTCTGCCCTTTTTTTTGAAATTCGTAAAATTTCGAAATATATAAATTATTGATATTAGGTGGCACTTTAAGGATAATTGTTTTTGGATAGATGAAACGATACAATAAGCAATAGTGCAAAACAGAAGGTGGAGAAAGTATGTTTTGAAAACCTATGTGAAAGTGATTAATTAGCAAGAATTAGAGAGATTGTTAGAAATGTGGAACATCTCGTGTTTTATCATCAATTCATCCAAAAGTTGTGCCCTGTTTGCGGTGCCCTATTCTCTCTTTTAAAGCTATACATATAAATTAAAAGCATTGTTGCTCCTCTTCTCCTTTACCCCTTACAAACATACCCCTCCTTGTTTAATCGGCCATTCATCCAAAAGCCCCGACCAAAACAATGAATACATCATTTGTTGTTTCCCTATTTCTTCCATCAATCCCAATTACACATACACACACACACACACACACACACACACACACACACACACACACACACACGCACACACACACACACACACTCAATCGTCACTTTTCACATTTTAATGGAATTAAATTCTATCAATTTGGAGATTTTATATCACCTAACGATAAAATGTACTGTTTAAAAAAATTTGAACTATTTGAGGAAAATTTTCAAGGATATATCAAAACTATTTAAATTACTATCATTACATGCTTATTTTTTTTTGAATCATTAACAGATACATAAGCTATTTGCTATATCTTCAAAAACATTAAGGTATTTTCTTCAGTGCATACATTTGGTATTATTGTATAGTGAATATAATTAGAATTAGAAGGAAAAAAATGGTATTGATTACTGCCTGAAAAACAGGGCAGACTTGTTTTTTCATCACTTGCAATATTTACCAATGAAAAAAATATATATTTATCATTATAGACAGATTGCATTACCTGTAATTGTTGAGGGCTAACTTCCAGCTTTTGAGGGCTTCTTAATTTCAAAAAAAAATGTAACAAGATTCAAATGACTAAATTGAAAATTGGCCTTTTAAAAAACAGTTTTCCGCATTCGAGCTTGTTCAAAATCTTCTGAAATTGAATAATTATTTTTCTACCAAAAATAGATCATAATATTTGCTAGTGACTTATTATGCAAAACTCTCATAGTATATCTGTTAGCTTAGAAAATTGCTATATCATTTCAATTCCAAATATGAGAATTAAAGAAGTTTCCCACAAGACCGTTCAGCAATGAATTCATTCTTTTATGGGATCTTTTTTTATCTTTTTTTTTGGTGCTTATATGCAATTCGGTAAAATAGTTGCGATTTGATTATTTTTAGCTTTTTCATTTCTTACAATTTTTCACTCTTCAAGAACTGATGAAAGCTGATAAGATAGTTAAACTTGTTGAGAAATGCTCCTGTAAAAGAGTCATTAACCTGAACTATCATCATTCACCATCCATCTCATCATTCAACGTAATATTTGCATAAACCTTGCCTCAGACAACTCTTATTTTAGCAAATTAACATGCGGCAATATTTCATCCCTTGATGATTTCGGTTATAAATTCTACCATTTTGGTGTCAGATCGGCTTCTTTTATGCCATTTCCACCGTTATCTTTTGTAGGATAAGCCAAAGCGCAACTAATTCGAAACCCGACTGTTGTACCAGCGGATCAGACTATTTTCTGCATTCAAAAAATTCAACTTTTCAATGCCAACTGTTAATCAATGTTGTAAATAATCCGTAATAGATGCGAAGAATTTCTCAATAGTTCTAAGGGCGCAATTAATACGGACAGAACAAAATATAATAGAGGTAGAATAAAATAAGAACAAGAATGGAATATATTTTCGTATCTAAGCATCGGTACCAACAACAATAAAACAGAATTTTTCATTGAAATGGTGAACATGATTAGCACTATAATGGATAACACTCCCTACATTTCGTTCAGCTCTCCTATTCCTTCTCTCAATACAAAGACGATTTTGATACAAATACAGACCATTTACACAAACATACATGGTGTGCTTCACGTTGCACTCATCAAGGGTAGTCATCATTCGAAGAGCAAATTCTCTTTCATTTAATTCCGGACTTCTAGGATTATTCAAGTTGTTTGTAAAACCGGATGGAATAAAATTTTTGTCTATTCTTCAGTAGTATTTGGTTGCATGCATTCATTACCTGTGCTATAAAATAATATTGAATTATATCAATGTACGCTATTATACGTCCATATGAACTTTAGAAATCCAGGATTGGAATATTTATTTAGGCTATAATGGTTATATGTTCTTCGCCTGAAGAATAGTGGTAAGTTATAAATAAAATTGATGACTGCTTATGCAGGTGTACGGTGTGCTTCCCCGGTATCTTTCTAGATGAATCCATTGCGTGCGTGTCACCTCAGATCCGGTAATAAGTACTCAATTTCCATTGGCTTTATGCTTTCTCCTTGTTCTGTCTTACCCTCTTCTCATCTTCAACTAATTTCGTTCTCACTTTATTCATTTAACTTCCTTTTTTTAGAGAAAGCCTTCGACTTGATTAACACCTATTTACTCCATATCGGCTAGCCTAGTTTAGTCACCCCATCTCCGCTCATTACTTACTTTCCTGGAATTACCAGATTTGGGTGGTGAGTCAATAGTTGTGAATTTGATTTCTGCAAAATTTTTTCTTGTTTTTCAGGATAAAACATATTATTTCCACTCATCTCTTCTATTAATGCCATTCTTTCTTTTGTGATTACGTTTTTCTATCGAATTTTAATTCCGTTCTGTAAGCCATCTATCATTTTGTTCAACGACAACAAGCGCTTTTTCTACTTCAAATTTGTTTTTGGTTTCCTGTTTCTTATGTGAAGGTGAAGGTTATTTACGTTATTCATTATCTAGAACAACGTAAAGTTAACGATTTTCAGAATAATTGTCACTTCTTTTTTGAACTTTTCTGTTGACACGGATTATGAATTTACAGAAATAATGAATTAAAAAAGTGATTTATAGTTTGCTTACTATTAGCTCTCCAATATATTTCGTCACTTATTAGCTAATGCTTCACTCCGAAATGCCATACCATTGTATTTTCGAATTCGACAAGTTCATTATGTCACTTCTTTTCAAACTTTCCTTTCCCACAGCATTCGAAATTATTGAAGAATTAATTTTGGTGACTTAATATTGTTGTTTATATTGGTCGCTATAAGGAAAGTTCTTGCTTCTGATAGCTAAATTATAAAGTGATTCTAAATCTTAAGTTCGAGTTCGTTTCTAATACTGCTTTATTGCATAATTTAGTATCACTGTTTTCTTGTCATCTTCAAATTTATGTGAATGTTCAACAAAAACATTGCTGTCATATATCTTCAGATTTGGGATGTGTATGATGACAAGAAAGCTTCAATCTTTCAAACGCGAAGAGTTCGTCTGAGAAAAATAAAAATTTCGATTTCCTGTTCTGGAAGTTTTGCAAGATGTCTGGCCGTCGTAAGACAATGCCAACAAGACTTTTGGAAACCGTGGAAACATTTTATCCAATAACAACTGTCGAATCGATGCCAAGTACTTCAACTGCTATTGGTGTTCAAACAGTTAAGGATACTTTACTGATAACAGAACCAACTACACCAATGAAAATGTCCACAGAAGAGCTTACTTTGGATGATATTGTTAAGGTAATCATCGTGCACTTCTAACTTATTTCATAAATACTAGGATTCTTAGATTTTTAGGTCGGAATAAGAAAAACAATTTACCAAATTTTTCAGCAAGAAGAAATAACTAAGCAACGTGCCATAAGGGAGTTCACATCTGTTTCATCACCTCGAGCACAAGTTGATTCATCGAAGAGCGATGCCTCAAGCATTTCTGAACATACCAGGTTTGTATTAATGGTGTAAATATCGTCAAATCACTTTATCATTCTGATGTTGAAACCAAAATAAGTATTTTGGTTCAGTCATTTTATCCAAATTATTTCAAATTTGGTCTTTCAAGCAAATTCTGTGCCACATGTCCAGATGGAAATGTATGGACAGACATCTGAACCGATATCCGAACTGCTAATTAATCAAGAAATTTGGGATTTAGCAGCATTTCCTAGTGGATTATGTACTCTCCTCATGTATTTTTCTTTCTTGTTGGTATAACATTCTGTGGCCAATACTTACAAGCCAAAATAAAATGTCTTCATCCTAAAAGTTATATTTTCCTAAACTGCTGATTTTGGGAGAGCCATTAAGTTACACTTTATTATTTTAACTTCATTCCTAAACTTTTTGACATCAATTTTTTTTTTTTGCATGAGCAATAGGAAGAGCTCGAATTGAAAGATTTGGGATGCCATGAGTTTTAGATTGAATTTTTGTAACAGTATTTAAAGATGAAAAGGAAGGACATTTCGACTGTTGTTTTATTTTCAGGAGATTTTGAAATGATAGGAATTCTTAACCTGATCCATGCATTCATTCGTGCACTGACTGATTGAAATTATCAGCCTAATTCAGAAAATTGGGAATCTAAAATTCTAGGAAGATCTTTATTTGACTTGGAGGAGAGGACGGTAAATTTACAATTGTAGTTTATCGTCATTTGTTTATTATATTTATTTGTTTCTTCAACATTTCTAGTACTATTCAATGATTGATTGCAACTCTCACAAGACAGCAGAGCTTGAAAGTTTGGAAACAAATAGTTGGGTGGAACCGAAAATTAGTTACTTCGCTAATCATGACTTTGGAGAGTTCAACGGATTTGTAATTAATTTTACCATTCATAACTCTGATGAGTATGTGCGCAAGTGTTTTTTTGACCTTACCATTTGTCAACTCCTCGAGACGTGGGGAATTTTAATGCCGTAAATTCTGATTTATATCTTTTTAAAAAAGACGTTCATTTTTTTCGGTATATTTGTTTCTCTATTGTTGGGCAGTTTTTCTTCTCTGCGTGATAGTTATTTGAAATCTTGCATTTTTTTTTTTCATTGATCATTTTCTGATAAAACTGAAACATTCCTCATTTTTTTATCTTTTCCGCTGCTTTTCCATTGGTATCTGATGATTTCATGCGATCTAGAGCTTTTGGGAATATGCGAGAAGAGGAAACGATCTATTAAGGGAGCGTAGTGGCGGCGATTGGATGTTATTTTATAGAAATCCTTGGTCAGTTTCATTGAATATCGCTGATGCTGAGATGTTGAGAATTTTCCGCGTGTAAATGGAAATTTTATTCATCACGCGGGTTGCAGGTTTACATGCTGAAATTGATTGGAAAAAAATGGAAAGGGTGTTTTCTTCATCGGCTAAGTCAATAATGCGCAAGTCACATCCTTTAACCAAGTCTTTTTTTAGAACTTCACTCTTTCATTAGTACCTAAATAGGTTTCAGTTTCATACCTGTTTTTTTTTTTTAAATCTTAGCATTGATTAGTAGTATTTGCTGAATTATCATAAAATGCAAATCACTGATAACGATAACCTACACAACATGAGTGTAAAGAGATCGTTATGTTTACTGTTCCGACTAGTCAGTCAGTATCTTATCCGACTAGTTAAATTGTATATTTGTTATTATGGACTACGAGGCCATTCTAAGATTTTTACTGATAATGATATATGCGCACGCTGATAAGAGATAATAAATGGCATGTAATGCAACGGTCGTTGCCCATTCAGTTTGGTTAACACAGGTTATTTCTAAGCTTCGATAAAAGAAAATCAAATTTATGGCTAAAATTGAAATTAAACCTATTAATTTGGATTTTATCATCTTGCATTCTTGCTTTAATAGGGCTTTTTTCCTAATATAATAGCCTTGTATCATATGTATTTCTCGATTTTGACTTAGTGGTGAAATGAAGTATTTGCTCACTTCATACTCCTTCGCTAAAGATAATCTGAGCTTCGGGAGAAAGTTTCAATTGAGCGATCCTTTTTTGTAATGCCCAAATTTAAGCATTTATAATGGTAGCTCTATCAGATATTGAGCTCGTAGTTACAAAAATATTTTTGACCAGGTGGCCACATAGTGAAGTGCGCAGCTGCATTATCCATGAGTATGAAGCCACAGCAGAAGTAGAACAGATTAAGAAGGAACAATAAAATCACTCTAATGTTGCTTCTTTTCGTTTCCTGCTTCATTAAATCACTTGAAAGAATAAAAAGAAAAAAACAATAGCATTGATTTATCTTTGGCGTCGAAACATTGACACCAATCTGATCACTTTATTTCCCTTCCTTATTGCTATCCTTTTTTCATGTGTTTGGCTGCATTTGATGTTTCATTGTGTGTGGTATAAATGCAACAAATAATATACAGTAAGCATGTTTCGCAGTTGTCGTGCATTATATTTGATTGATAGACCAAGTCATCGATAATTTCTGGGCAGTTGAAAACCTGAAAATGCTTGAAAGACATTTCTAAATAACACATACTTTCAGTAGGAACGCCCTGAATTCTCCGGTTGTTAGATCATTGATTATTTATCTTCCAGCACGTCAGGTTCAACCGGGGTGACGGATATCCCGGATATCTTGGCACAAACAGAACACGGATGCCGTGTACTAATTGATGGTCACGCACTGCGTGAAGTTCTTAACAGTGTTGACACGTACGATGGCAAACTCGATCTCGTACAAGACCTTATTCGGCAGGTTGGAATTTTTTTTTTCTGGAATTTATTATCCCTCATGTTTGATGTAGTAGCAATATCTTCATCATTAAAAATTGCAAAATGTAAATATGTAAGGATTATTTCCCTAATATTACCATGAAGTGAGTTATCGTGACGCTTTTTTTCTCAGCAATACGTCAATTAAAAAATTCATTTATAAGCGTATACCTGACTTGACCGTTAAACTGATCGTTTAACAACTAATGCACGACGAAGATAACGTAATCTTCCAGAAGAGGACCAAGATGATAATCATCATATCATTCTATTTAGTCCTTCTTTTGATCATAAATGACTAATGAGAAGTTATTTTATCCGGAAACGATCATTCCTAGATTTTCAATGCACCACAATTTTTTTTCTCGTAATAAAATAAGAGGAAATAGATTGATTGGTTGGAATTTCATTCTACAAGTTTATTTTCTTATTTCGGAAAAATCGGTTGAATTGTCCTTTTTGCAAAATTTGCAATAATTTATAATGAAAAAATTTCCTATTGTTTTGCTATAAAATGGCAATGATTTATATTGAAAATTTTTAGAAAAGACAATGCTAAAATGGTTCCTTTTGTAATGTTGAAAAAAAAAGGCATTTTGATGTCTGTGACTGTCTGGAAAGACTATGTTAGCAAAGCGAACAACACAATTTTCTGCTGCTTTGTTTAGAAATCTTATGCTACGAAGTCGTAACAAATAGGCAATGGTTGCGCTCCCTATCCTATCCCTTTTCTTGACCATTACTTTCTGTTATCAATTGTTTAGCAGTTGAAAAAGCTGACAAATAAAATTCAAGGATAATATTGCTGTTATCATATCATTCCTGCATTGATGGAGTTTACTAGATAGTTCCAATTAACGTTTTATATCATTACCACGCCAATTCATTTCCAACGGTTGATAATCTCACTAATAGAAGTTACAAGGGGTTTGTCGGTCCAGAATGGGAATAAAGTTTAAGGAGAATAGAATATCATTATTATCATTATATATAACTTGAACACTTCTTGCGTGGACCAATTGAATGGGTTAAGCTTACCTGGCGGTAGAGTAAGTTCCCCCTATTCCCTTTTCCAATAATTACATTGTTGATCATTACCATAATTCATTTTTAATGTCGTGAATAAGCTTACTAGAAGGATCAGGAAAGAGCATTTTCACTGGAAATTAGAAGTGTTTCGCTACATTTGCCATTGTATGCCAGAATTGGCACTCACTAATTAAATGAATTCACGACTGTCAGACTAATTTTTTAGATTTCTGAGGTTTCACTTTCAAATTTTAGTTAAAAGCTGTTAAAGAACGTTTGAGTTGTGGTGAAATACATATCAATAAAGAGGATATTGAAGAGACAAGTCTCAAAGATGCGGACGAATTGGTTGCGGAAACTAAGGAACAAAGTTGTTTCCAGGTAGTTTCATTGTTTTTATAACGTGGATCACTTACACGGATTGCACGAATCACTTGGCTATATTTCTCAGATTGTCTGCTATCATCCCTATTGCTTACGTAATAGATTATAGGAAGCAACGTTCCAGACTGTTTTGTTAAAATTTGCACAAGTTCTCCTACTTGTTAAAATTTGCATAAATAATTTTAATTATACCAATGGTCGAACACAGCCGATTTGAACATACATAAATGTGAGGGATGAAAAAAAAAAAAGATTATGTAAGTGGGTGGGACATTTAGATGGATGGTCGCTTGCTGGGAATGGTTGGAAAGTGCTTTCAAAAAGATTTAATACGGTCAAGCCGGGCGGAGAAGGAGGGTTGATCCAAGCAGAAGAACCCAATCCTTCTTCTGCTTCGTACCGTTAGCCTCATTCGGCATCTCACTGTTTGACACTGTATTGAAATTATAAAATACCGTATCTTTACCTGTAATATATATATTCGTTTGATGAAATACTAAACCACTTTAATTTTTTCCTTTAGGAATTAAAGTGGTTCAATATGCGGAAATTCATATATGAAATGTTTGAATTAAAGAAATTTAAGTGAGAGAATTGATAAAGGATAAAAATCCCCGAGAGTTCAGAAATATTCTGAATAAGAATAATCTGTGTGAAACAATTAGAACGACAATTTTTAAATTTCCATACATATAATTCTTCGTAGAAATGGAAAATTTTAGGATGAAATTAACTACAATGCTTGCTAACGAGAAGAGTTGAATAGTGTAGCTTACTTCCACTATTTGCAGAAAATGTCAGCTGGTAACTTAGATGAATTGATGCTGAGGCAACAATACCTTATCCAACAACAACGGAATCAACAACGATTGCTTGCCATGGCATCTGCCCTTCATGCTGCGCAACATTCCAACGCTGTACGACTAGGCTGTATGCTACCGTCTGGTACCATTTTTTTTCTGTTCTAAACTTAAACGAGCTTTTCAATCTTTGATATTAGAAATTTATTCTCCCTTTTACCGAATTAATGGAATGGAAATATTTTATATTGTCTTTAGAGTTTACTGTATGGGTGATTGCAATAATAAATGATAAGTAGCAGTAATCAAAAAGTTACACAAAGAATTAAGTCGGCAGGTAAATTAAAAAGATTAAAATTTACTGAGACTTACTAGTGCGATTGGAGTTTAGGGTTTTTTTTCGGATTGTTGGTTGGTGATTTGTCGTTTAAAAGTTATTTTCGAAATTTTAAGTTATAAGTGAAAAAGTTATTTTCGAAATTTTAAGTTATAAGTGAGTCGAAATTTTTAGTGAGTTGGGTGACAATTTTTACAATGAATTTTTATATGCAATGACTTATTTAATATTGCGCTAGATGGATGAAGTTATTCAGATTAGGTAGCTTAATTTGAATAATAAATGATTTTTTTATCAACAACATATGGGCAATTTATGAATGGAACGGCACTTGGGAACGATTGTGGTGTACTAACAGCGGCAACGGTGCTTTCCCAAAGTGTCAATAGTCGAATGAATAATGTAACCAATCATTTGGGAACAACGGGGATCGATTGTACTGATCGAAATGGTTGTGAAACACCGCTGAATTTGAGTAGAGTTAAATTAAAAAGGCTTGTTCATTCCAATATCATTTTTCATCCATAAATTTTCAAGTTTGGAGAAGAAATTCCGTATTTTATGTTTATAAAGTCTAAGAAATCGAAATTTGAGTGCTAGGATTAGATACATAATCATTTCATCTTGGTTAAAAGTTAAAGACGGTAAAATAATTATATCATTATCCTCCAATGATTAGAACACAGAGAAACGATGAAAGAATAATAATTAAATATTTAGCAATAGATCGTTTTTTATTTATCGTAAAATTTCCAGCTTTCTAACCTGGTTTATACATCAATTAGATGAGAAAAATAGACTTTGATTAGCATATTTAGCGACAAAATTTGATCAGGTATAGAATGAATGATGAGCTTTGAAACTAAATCCCTCAATAGAGCCAGTCATTAGCGTCTAAATTATGGTCGATGTACGGTTCCCAGGAAGTTGGAATAGAATTTGTGAAGAATACATTTATTGTTATTGATTATTCTATGAATTAAATTAATTCAAATATTATGACGCTTCTTATTTGGTTTATAAGTATTGTAATTTTCTATCTAATTGAAATGATGGAATTTTTGGGTTTTATTTATGGATGTTAAGCATTATATATAAATTTCACTGCAATCCGTAGCCGAGTGTTTTTCATTGCTAAATCGTGTAATTCAAATCAAATCTAACAAATTTTTTTTCAGTCCTACAGACCATTCCAAAGTACGCAAAGCATCGTTGCTGAAAAGTAATACCAATTCAAAAAAACCAAATTCACCATCTGAGATTCTTAACCGATTACCTTGCTCTTCGATCTCACATTCTTTTGCCTCTGAAAGTAAGTGGATTTCCAGTAGTGAATTGGAATGTACGGTGATCTGTAGTGTTGCAATCTTTGGTATTTTTCGTTATCATTGGCTTGGTTATTACGATTGGTCACTCTATTCTTAGCATTTGTCAGTCCATTGCAAACAGCAACAGTAAAAAATTCTGATGAACCGATTCTTCTCAAATTAGGATTGGCTAGTGAAAAGCATTTATGATTTTATTTTTTTAGCATCAGCTTTCACAAGCCATTCACCAGGTTCATCAGGCGAAAGCACACCTGGAGGTATATTGACATCAGAGAGTATTCCGGCTCGAATTCCTGCTAAATCACCAAATCATATCAAACGTCCCATGAACGCCTTCATGGTCTGGGCACGTGATGAGCGAAGGAAAATCTTGAAGGCTTGTCCAGATATGCACAACAGTAATATTTCGAAAATCCTTGGTTAGGTTTAAAACTTTTAATCTAAATGATGAAAAATTAAAACATATTGAAATGCAGTCTCTCTTATGTATATCGCTTAAATATAATCGATTTTGATTTTGACTCTGCCCACTTTATTAGAATTTCTATTTTGAAAACCTTTTAATGTAGGATCGAGATGGAAGGCAATGTCTAATACGGAGAAGCAGCCATATTACGAAGAACAATCCCGGCTGAGCAAATTGCATATGGAGCAGCATCCGGATTATCGTTACAGGTATCATTTTTTATTGGAAACTTTTGTTTCGTTAATTTTAATGGAAAGATTCAAGACTGAAGCAGTTTTGTAGAGTATCGTATTAAATTTTGGTTAATATCAAAGGGGTGTCGTAAAATTCTAAAGTTTAAGACAATACTTTTCATTATTCATACTGTGATTCTTTCATACTGTGATTCGGTCGTTTTCAGGCCTAGGCCAAAACGAACATGTGTGGTTGATGGAAGGAAAGTTCGTATAAATGAATATAAAAATTTAATGAGGAACAAAACAGCGGCAAATCCAGTTGGTACTACCGGTTGCTCGTCTACTACCAGTGAATGGAGTAGTGATGTTGATCAGTGTGGGATAGCTGTGAGTCCTGGATCTGGCTCCAGTCATTCCTTAACAATTAACACTAATTCACTATTAACGTCAACACCAACTGCAATGATAATTCCCGATAATAATAGTGATACTACTGCACATTCTCGATCATTCTCATCTGTCGATTTTGCCAGTCTTAGTGGCGCCACCGTGCTCACCGATCTAGCCCATCATCATCATTGCCATATGTTACAGACCGCTGAATAACATGGTATCATCCTGTTCTATTTCGCCGGTACAATTTTCCTATATTTAGCATCTGTTCTTGAAACATTTTGACTTTTCAATCAATTGTTTATTTCTGTAGCGAATTACAATTCACTTAATCATTCAGACTATTTGTTTTTTTGAGGTATTTGAGTTTGGCGAAAAGTAGATTTTATTCACTTTCCTATTTGAAAAAACTATGATTACGAAACAGTTTAAAAGTGGACTGATCAAAAATAAGCCAACAATACAACTTTTAGTGCCTAAAAGGCTTCCCAAAATAAATTTACATTGAAATGTTATGGAAGATTGAAAAAAAATCCAAAACGTTAGAAATTTCTTCGTAAAAAAAAGTTGGATCAAAGTTTGTTGGTATTCCAATGTTACACAGAAAGTACATATAAATTATTGATCGGAAGAAGAGTAAAGTTTGGTAAAAAGTGTAATTAGCATATTGTGCTGTATATAAATGTTTGTGTATTACATTATTCTATTCCATACAATCTTCACTAAAGACACTCATCTATCATTGCAAATATTACGATGATAGGGAAAGCCTCTATCGCTTGGTACAAGATATTTTTCCTAATTTTTTAAAAATTCAGTAATTCATTTCATGTTAAAATCATGGTTTTTGTGTGTCACTTGGCTCTACACTCCATATCAACAAGCATTTCATCCTTTTCATCTTTGTTGTGATCCTAATTTTCAGTCTTTTTTTGGATTTTAATGTTTCCATACTAGTGCGTGTTTCATTTCTGTTGTATTCTTGCATACGTATTAGCCAACGTTCTTTTTCTTAGAAACTGACTTAGACATTTTATCATATTTTGACTTGTTTTTTTTCCACCTAGTCTTTCTAACTGTATATTAATTATGATCAGAAATAAAGTATAATTTGCAATTGTATGTTCTCAGAAGTTACATCTTCAGTCGTTGTTTAAATTGATGAAAAGACCTAATTGTCTCAAAGTTAATGCGAAATTCAAGCGATTTGGAACTCAACTCAAAATTCCTAGTTGAGGTACTTTTTACGGTAATTTTGTGCCTCTGCAGTAATTGGCAATTTTCCTACTTTTTTAAGTTTGGTATTTTTCTGAACGATAACTTTTTGTTGAGAGACAATAATGAGCAGGTGCAGTTTTCAATACATGAATTGGATAAATGAATGATATGAAGTATAATTCACAGTATTCGAATATAAGCGACCGGTGTAATACACTTTATTGCCCCTTCAAAAATTTTGAAATAACTGAAGGAATTCTTGCACAGCAATTGTGCAACACACGAAAGCCGATGTCTGGTGTCCAGTGATTAGTAACGTTAGTAAAATCCTTGCATAGTTATTTACCCTTCATCTCAGGTCAACGATGAAAGCGTCTCGTTTTCCTCTTTGAATTTCAAATGAAATCAAGCTTGAATAAATTGTCCAAATTCAGTAAGTTTCTTAGTTCATCGCTGAGTGCTGTAACTAAAAATTTGGGAAATCATGCCAGATAACAAAAACTTCCATAAACAGATAGTTTATATGGTCTGGAAGATCTGACGAAAGAAATTCAACCAAATCTCGAAGCCTAGAACTATCAACTAGAACATTGGTGAAATTTTTAACAATGACTGACTGGTTAAAGCCTATATTTTTATGGAGTTTGCTTGTACTTGAACACAACGTTCATTAATAATGTTTTGAGGTTCTGTGGCACTTACTTTTCATGACTTCATATTAAATAGTGTTCTCGGTCATGTGCATTTCAGGGATTCAATATTATTTATGCAAATCATTTCAACTTTTTTTAGATTTCAAAACTTCTTTTCATTTAAATTTAGAAAAGACGCTGGATAGCATCTAAATGTGGTATGAAATATGACAATTAAGAAAAAAGTGTCAGTTTTCAAATTGAGGTTTTGGATGTAAACGAGATCTGAAGCCGATTTGGAATTGAACAATGGAGGACAATGACTGAAACTTGAGATGGAAAATGGTTTATCTAGAAAAGATTCAAGAGATCAATGTTACCTCATTGTAATATAAAAGCAGAAGCAGTGAATATCACGAGATGTAGTACTGACGGAATTATATAAAGATGGATATCGGAATATGAGTTTGCCCCGGATAGCGATCCCTCTCTAACATTTAGCAAATTATGCTGTTGCAACCAGATGTCATACTGATATGGCTCTTCCACAAAATCGGCGATATCTTTTGGTAAATCGTCCACAATATGAATCTTCCAGCCCATATTATATGTTGAATAGCTCTGTAACAGTTCAAATAATGCTAACGAAATTTTAAAAAGCTTAAACAATTTAGATGAGAAATCATTTAAATTTGAAAAATTGAAGAATAAAACGAATGAATGTATTCTTAATATGTGAAAGTTACTTGATAATAAAGAGTATCGGGTGTTTCAGCTGTTGGAGTGAAATGGAATGTTGCTGTTTTGGATGTTTCAATGCATTTTAACTTAAGTGAACGCCGATACTCAATGAAACTGCCGAATTTATCAGCATCCTCATCATCTTCACCATCGTGTGACCACAAACATAGACGACCAGCTGTTTCATTCGGGTTATGTCCAGCTACTATTTTCACTTGCTGAAATGCAGCTAAATATTTTCTAAATTGGTAAAACTTAGAGTGCATTATGGAAACTAAATTCAAAAATACAAAAAATGAAAGTGTAAATTTAATACTTCTCGCTCATCATTGGATAATTTAGCGTATCCACCAAACGGATCATCTGATATGTACAACGGATTGTAAAAATCGCTAGTAGATTTATCATTACCACCTTCAACACTTAAAAACATCCATCAACACTAATGCTGCTGACATGCAAAGATTATCGTTGATTAAAAAGTGGGCTATATGAAAAATTTAGATTTAAAACAATTCCCATAAACATAAAATAACTTTTTGTTGTTATGATAATGGTCATTTCCGGTACTGTCAACAAATTTAAACAAATTTCTCACCAAAAATTATACATACAAAAAAATGGTGAAATTTTTATAAAAAATTCTTAAACACCTACTTTTCTTTACAATTTTGTAATTAAAAAGTGTGCAAACTTCATCAAAATTTACTTGAATGTGTATGTAACACCACGCTTCAAATAAATATCAGCCAAATAGCCATTCACATACCACACATACTTCGCTGGCCTAGCATGTGTCATGAACTGAAATAGAGAAGGTAAAGTTTTGCTGGTTCATTTCAAAAATCTAATCCACATAATCAAATCAGCAATTTTTTGATCTTATAACTCCACATCTCTTATCAGAGAAGAAAAAAACTACCTGATAACCTCGTAGGCCACCAGGTGGTCCCAATTGAAATGTAAAATTTAAACGATCATCTGTTCCTAGCAGTGAAATTAATGGCCAGCCATCAACTTTAGAAAGTTCTATATCACCGAACTGAAAAATAGTAAGATCAGCATAATAACTGTTTAAGCCATTAAGTTATTTTAGAATACTGGTACCAGAAATGCAAAGATTCTGGTAGGAAAAATTTCAATTTCGTGTGAGAAAGACAGATGGAGGATTTGTAATGCAATGCTTGAGCCCATTTTGGATGTGTAAGACGTTTTGTTTTATTCCTATCCTTCCAATTTTTATGTACTTCAAAATTAAACAGGTTATCAAAAAAATTGCATAATTTATTGATATGTAATTATTTCAGTACGAGATGCAATGTAATTACAGTAAGTAATATCGGGAGCACTTTCATAATGGTTTAGCATACAAAAAATTTACTCGTTTCTGTGGTGGCACATGGGGAGGTATTCTTTGAGATACATTCATAATAGATACATGCCCGAAATCAACCCGAAATTTATAGCAGTAAACGGATAGCCAATCGATATGATTAATGTCGTATTCCGCAGGTAAATCTATGATTACGTCCTGTCCACCGCGATATCGCTCATTCATTGCGGTTATCCTAAATACATGAATAATCATCTACTTATGAACTTTTTCGAAATCTGAGAATCTCGCTGTATTCACTTTTTAATGAATAACCGATCTTAAAAGGAAAAAAACATTTTTTTGCTAAATACCAAAACTCTGAATATTGCAACGAGAATAATGTTACTGACGTGAAATGGTAACCTAGATTTAATTTATTATATTAGCAAAATTATTACGGAGATATGTTAACACTTACATCCCCGCAGTGTCTCTTCCACGTATTGGTACTTTGACTCCAGAATCATGTGCAACATTCGGTCCTCGACCAACAAAAAAGTAGCCATCTAAGAGCGAATTTAAGTTATTAGATTAGAAATTTCAAGATTTTATGGAATTAGTAAAAGCTGTCTGAAAGTCCTACCTGGTGCTTTATCACCATCAAAGGTAAAACCGAAAATTTTGATTGTCCTTCTATCAATTATTAAGATAGGCCCGGAGCCAACATTATACCGGCTACCACGCAATTCAGTAGCTAGAAATTGTGGTTTTGGGATGACCACAGTATCCGGAATTGGGATTGTACCAAAATTTTGCTGAAATTTATCAGTATTTTCGAAGGTAGAAATAATCACCATCGCATGACTCACAACCTAGTTTTTAGAATTTTTAGAAATAAACCTTTTTTCAGAACTGAAAGTAACGAATTACCTTCACTTTTACAACAACTGATTTACCACAACTAATTATCTCAAACTTAACAGACTTACCTCGAATTTAAAGCAGAATAAAGAGAAAATTTTGAAAGAGGTAATCTTGTGAAGTCCAGGTAACACCAGTACAACTCGTTCTGCACTCTTGTACGGGCCAATTGGAGCAATTCTGCAACGAAAGTATTTTTCATTCAAAATAAAAAGATAAATTGTTATCAAATTTTGTTGAATTTATCCATAGCTTGACGAATTTAAATTATAAAAGTGGACATACCCAAATTCAAATGTTGGAATTTTGAGACCGCCAACAGATGGTGCATCATTTTGCTCTAGCCAGAAGTATAAATCTGAAATTATTAATAATCAAAATTATAT